ACAGGCGTGGAGTGAGGGGCAGGCGTGGAGTGAGGGGGCAGGCGTGGAGTGAGGGGGCAGGCGTGGAGTGAGGGAACAGGTGTGGAGTGAGGGGCAGGCGTGGAGTGAGGGGGCAGGCGTGGAGTGAGGGAACAGGTGTGGAGTGAGGGGCAGGCGTGGAGTGAGGGGGCAGGCATGGAGTCGGTGGTGGGGAGGCGGACACTGCAGCGGGGCTGGCAACAGCCAAAGACGGGGTGTTGCAGTTGAAGGGCAGAGGCAGCTCAGCTGACAGTGGGACACACGTGGATACAATCCCCCAGCAAATGCCCCAGCAAACGCAGATGGGAGGCCAGGCAGCATGCTGGTCCTGGGGCCCAGACCGCAGCTCCCGCCCCCACCCTGGGGAAACAGAGCACACAACAGTGACGGTGACAGGGGCCAAGGCAATGGGTGACTCCTGGACCAGGGCCATCTCATTTTCAAGGATTTATCCAAAGAGAAAGGAAGTTGATACAAGAAGGCACATCACCCCAGCTCACAGCCTCTGTGGGACCACAGACCAAAGCTGAAAACAGCAGAGCTGAGGCAGCCTGGGGGAGTCACAGATGCACACGAGCTGTCAGAGGGCAGGTACCCATCCTGCTCACCTCTGCCCCAGCGCCGAGCCCTGTGCTCAGCTCAGACGGGGTGCTCAGAAAGTGTCTAAACAAAGGAATGAGGGAAACCCCATGGCAGTGTGACAGAGCCCACGTGGGGACCTGTATGCACCCAGAGAGAAAGTGGCAAACATCCTCAGAACACTGATACTGGGAGAGTGAGACAAGGGAGATTTCTTATCCTGATTTGAAAACTCCTTTAACCCTGTTGCTGTTTAACAGTTAAAAGTGGGTGCTTCCTCGTTTAAAAATGTTTGGCTCAAGGGAGAAATACAAGACAAAACTGCAGAATTTCTTGACAATAACAGGAACAACATGACAGACCACAGAGTTCCCAGATGCATTTAACCCCTAGGGAAAATCCATCTCCGAGATGCACTTCATGGTACAGGAAGCCCTCCTGTCATCAAAGGCACAGGCCCATCACATCTGGCACTAAAAGAAAAGCTGAAAGATGGATCAGGGCAGAGGCGTGAGAGCGGAGAAAGGTCAAAAATAGCTCAGTGCCCATCAATGGACTGCGACGTGGCCCTTGGGGGCCCCACACTGTAGGGAATAAGGACTCAGACTGGTCTCCGGGCCACACCTGCCATCAAGGAAAGCAAGTGAAGTGCACTGCCGCCTGTGAGGAAGAGGCAAGGCCACGTGGAAGAAATGCAAGGGTGTAGGCATGTCTGCTTAGAGGGGGTTGGCTGTGGGTTTGTTTGTGTTTTTTTTTTTTTAAAGATAAAAATAAATAAACCAAAACCTAATAGAAATGGTTACCTACAGGGGAGAAGGGGAGGAGTTGTGGTGGCATAGTAAATAAGGCATTTAGCTGCTAACCAGAAGGTCATCGGTTCAAACCCGCCAGTGCTCTGCTGAAGGAAGATGGGACGATCTACTTCTATAAAGATTCACATCTCGGAAACCCAAAGGGGGTTGCTATGAGTAGGAATCGACTCAATAGCAATGAGTTTGGTTTTTGGTTTGGTATAGGGTGAAGGGGAGCTCTGGTGGTATAGTGCCTAAGGCATTTGACTGCTAACCAGAAGGTTGGCAGTTCAAACCCACCAGCCACTCCTCGGAAGGAAGATTGGGCAATCTACTTCCATAGTGATAACCCCTCGGAAACCCAAGGAGGGGTTCACTATGAGTCGAATCGACTCGACAGCAGTGAATTTGTTTTATAACATAGGAGAGGCTGGGCTGTGGGGACTGGGTAGGGTTGGAAGACAACTTTCCTGAAGGCACCAGCCACGCCTCTGACTTTGGAATCACGTAAACATGCTACATAATTGTAAGTCAAAACATGAAAATCAAAGCAACTCCCAAAACAAAAATACCTGGAGAAAACTGGACCGTGTATGAGGCTGGTGGCTTAACCACAAAGGAAAGGATTAATGGAGGCAACATGAAAACAGCAGAGTTACCAAACCCACCTGGTGGGCTGGCACCCAAGGACAGAAAGAACTGCAGGGAAAGCCTAACCAGCAAATCTTGCCACATCACTAGCAATAACACAACGACAATGTTACCAGTAATCCCATCACATGGTTAGTAGCTGTTGTCGTTAGGAGGTACGGATGAGTCAGTTCCGACTCACAGCAACCCTACGTGCAACAGAACAAAACACTGCCCGGTCCTGCGCCTACATGGTTAGTAAAACTGTAGTAATATGGTATTTTTATTTTGAAAAGGATGAATGGATGGACGGATGCACAGGTGGGTGGATGGATCGACAGATGGATGAACAGATGGGTGGGTGGACGGACAGACACCAACACATTAATGGCATTAAGAAGCAAAATCTGTATCACAACAGAAAGATAAATACAAATAAAAGAAGTTAAATAAAAGCCCTACAGTCCCAAATTCGAATTGGAAATATCAATATAAACGTATAAGAAATTTTTACTTATAAAAAAATAGACTGCTGCCACAGGAACACTGTCACCCTGTAGCACTGAGCACCCCTGCCATCTCCCCTCTGGTCTCCTGTGGTCCTTTCCCTCAAAAAGAACCAGGCTAATGACAGGTGGAGGTGAATTATTGAAGTCTACATGGGGCCACTGAGAGTCAGAATTCACTCAATGGCAATGGGTTTTAGGAGCTCTGGTAATGTAGTGCAAGGCACTTGACTGCTCATCAAAAGGCTGGTGGTTCAAATCCACCAACCACTCCTCAGAAGGAAGGTTGGGAAATCTACTTCCGTAGTGATACTGCCTTGGAAACCCAAGGAGGAGTCGCTATGAGTCAGCTCTGACTCGACGGCACATAACAACAACAACAACAATGGGTTTTGGTGCAGGAAACACTGGGGACAGGGAAACACCAGAACACCACCATGGGGATCAATCAGCCAGATTCAAAATGGAGGGAATTCTCCAGGACAAATGAGCAGCCTCTTCAACAAATAAAGAGCCAGAGCGGGGAGCAGCAGAGGGAGAAGGGTTCTAACTTAAAAGAGATTTAAGAGATGTATTGGCCAAACTCAATGTGTGGTCCCTCTGTGGATTCCGGTCTAAACAACCCATCTGTGAAAAACACGTTTTTGAGAAACATAAGAAAATTTGAGCACTGAGTGGATATTAGATGATAAACCAAAAACCAAGTCCACTGCTGCTGAGTTGATTGTGACTCACAGTGACGCTACAGGACAGAGTAGAACTGCCCCCTAGAACTGCTGCACTGTAGTAAATTACAGAGTGTGGCTTTCCCAGCCTAAGTTTTCATAAACTCCGTGGTGGAATTTGCTGTGAGCAAATGAGTAGCTCCTGATTGTTAAAGTTATCCACCTGGGGTATTTCTGTTGGGAGCAGCACAAAGTAATTTTCTGGGAAGTTCACTCTCTTTCAAGTGAACAGAATTCTGATGTTGGGATTGGTTGGTTTGGACCACTCTGCTACGCTCTAAAGGAGCCATCCTAGAGGCAGGAGTCTCACTGACTGCTGGCTGAGAAAGACATGCTGCAGAAAGAAATGTGCTCCTGAGAGACGTGAGAGACACATGCTGCTGAGAGAGACACAAGAGACACGCACTTCTGAGAGAGTGATGTGCTACTGAGACTGCTGGCTGCTGAGTGAGACTGCAGGCTGCCAGAGACTGAGTGCACTTCTGAACTTGAATGGTAGACTGGTGCTTCCCTAATAAACCCCATCATCTGTGAGTTCTGTGTGGCCACTGCAGCGAATTATCGAATCCAGCAGAGAGGTGGTAGGTGCTGCGGGAGGAACGGTCGGTGAAAGGGCTGAAGGGAGGCAGCGTGTCTGGCCTCGCAGAACAGGCCTCCAGCTACTGATGGCGATTCTGCCTTCCTCTTGTGGGGTTAGACGAGGTCAGAAGATGTGGCCTCCCTGCCCCCCTGGCAGTTTCCTAGGCTATAATCTTTACAAAAGCATACTGTCACACTTTCTCCCAAAGAGCAACTGGTGGGTTTGAATCTCTGACCTTTTGGTTAGCAGCCAAGTGCTTTAAGCACTGTGCCACTTGAACACCTCTATTAGATAATGCTAAGGTACTAGTGATAAGCTTAATAGGTGTGATAATGACATCATCATTAAGTTTTTCAAAAACAGCCTTTATCTCTCGGAGAGTAATACTCAAGTCTTTATGGCTAGAAGGATACAGTGTCTAGGAACTGCCTCTATACCTGGGCCACAGAAACGCGAAGAGCCCAATGTCGCCCATGACTGATGCTCAGTGAGGGGCGTGACGCTCGTGTCAACATCTCTCCATTTCCACATGTGTGTGGAAACTTCCATAATAAAACTCAAAAGACACAAAACATGAGCAGAAGGAGTGCTATCTCCCCGCTGGTGGGAGGAACTGGGCAGACAGACCTTTGGTGTTGACTCTCGCACCACTCCCAGGAGCTGTGCTCTGATCAGGCATGTCAGCCAGAATAACAGCAGAGAGCCTCTGCCAACGAGACCAGAAGGCCACAAGCTTTCCCACCTGATTGTTTGGGTCTGCGAGGCACCTCACGACGATAGGTGTGAGATACTCAGAGAGCACCACTGGGAAATCGGATCTGTTTTCTTGCAGAAACAGGGCGACAGGGGGAATCTGTTCCATCAGCTCAGTCCTCACGGTGGGCTCTGTGGCAGTGAACAAAAAGAAGGAAATATGTTACGAGCAAGCCTGGCATGTTACGGCGCATGTAGGGATGGTTTCTAGCTTATCTTACTAAAATACTTCATCAGCGAAATTAGACAAATGCAGTTTAAAAGTCGTTTCCCATTCAGAGTATTTATGCTGCAGACAGGCTGAAAAAGCTAATAAGCTACATGGCAGCATAAAAACATAAAAAGAAGAGAGAATGACAAGTCTATTATAACAAGCCGTATATAAATCGAGGGGTGAGAAGAGGGCTGCAGTCTGGGCCCGCCTCCAAAAGCCATTACAACTAATGGCCTATATGCCAGACCTATGGGCTGTGCTTATTGAAATTCCAGCCAGAATGGACACATTATAAATAATTCTTTCCTAAGTGCACTCCCCCACAATCTACGCATCCCGATGATTTCCGAGGCAAAGCATTAAACAAAAGAGTGGCTCAAGCTCCAGTACAACACATTAAACTTAATACAAATATATAATTGCCGCAGCACTGCAAAACGGGACTCATTTACAAAGAGAATCCATTTAAAGACTCAAAACATCCACGTGGACCTTCTGAAAAGCCTTGTTATATTCATATGAATATTTTAAACTAATATGGGTGATACAGGGAAACAAGGCTTATTTTTCTACTTTCAGCTAAAATGATCAAATTCTAAAGCAAGTCTCAGACTTCGGAAACTTTCTGAAGCTGTTCACCATTCATTGTGGACGCAGGGAAGAGGGACGTCAGAGCAGCCGTCAGTACTGTTAACGCAACCTCTCCATCATCTCACTTATCTTTACTGTGTGTATTGGAGGAAGGGGGCAAAGCCCCAGGTTCTACTATGCAGCAATGTGCTCTTCTCCCAGAACAGCAACCATGAAGAGGCAGGGAGAGAGAGAAAAATCCAGTGTAACTGACAAAGATCACGTTGTCATCGTTAGGTGTCATTGTGCTGGTTCCAAATCACAGTTGTCCTACGAGCAACAGAAGGAAACACGGCCCAGTGCTGCGTCATCCTCACGGTCACTGCCACGCTGGGGCCTCTGGGTGCAGCCACTGTGTCAGTCTATCTCAGTCCTCGTTTTGCTGGCGCTCCACTTCACCAAGCATGATCTCCTCCAGGCACTGGTCTCTCCTGATCACATATCTAAAGTATGTGAGACAAAGTCTCACCACCTCCCTTCTAAGGAGCATTCTGGCTGTGCTTCTTCCAAGACAGACTGGTTCATTCTTCTGGCAGCCCATGCTATATTCAATATTCTTCACCAACACCGTAATTCAAAAGCATCGATTCTTCTTTGATCTTCCTTATGGATTGGCCAGCTTTCACATGCGTTATCAGGCAACTGAAAATCCCACGGCTTGGGTCAGGTGCACCTTAGTCTTCAAAGTGACACCTTTGCTCTTTAACCCTTGAAAGAGGTCTTTTCCAGATTTGCCTAACACAATGTGATGTCTGATTTCTTGACTGCTGCTTCCATGGGTGCTGACTGTGGATCCAAGCAAAATGATACCTTTGACAATTTCAGTCTTTTCTCCATTTACTGTGATGCTGCTTACTGGTCCAGTTGTGAGGATTTTTCTTTTCTTTATGTTGAGGTGTAATCCATACCGCAGACTATAGCCTTTGATCTTCCCCAGTAACTGTTTCAAGTCTTCTTCACTTTCAGCAAGCAAGGTTGTGCTATCTGCATATCACAGGTCATTAATGAGACTTCTTCCAGTCCTGATGCCACACTCTTCTTCACACAGTCCAGCTTTTCGGATTATTTGCTCAGCACACAGATTGAATAACTATGGTGAAGGGATACAACCCTGATGCTCACCCTTCCTGATTTTAAACCATGTAGTATTCCCTTGTTCTGTTTGAATGACTGCCTCTTGGTCCATGTATAAGTTTCACATGAGCATATTTAAGTGTTCTAGAATTCCCATTCTTTGCAATGTTATCCACAAACTTGAATGCCTTTGTACAGATCACAGGTGAGGAAAATTAACAACTGGGCTTGTTCTAATCCAAAGGGCTTCTTCTGATTGGGTAGCTCTTAGCAACCAGCAGTGTGACAATACTCATGGAATAACTAACTAACTAAATAAATATGTATATATATATTATATATATATATATATATATTATATATATATATATATAATATATAAATATATACAAATATATAAATAAATAATGGCCAAAGCAACTAGAATTCATGGCCATTAGTCATTCCAATTTCTAAAAATATGGGTAATTTGAGTCACATTCAAGAGGTCCATTCTTCATGACAAAGTCCATTCATTGTTAAGGCTATGCATAAAACTTACCGATTAATCAACTGTTTTTTTAAAATTAGATACCACTGGTTATGCATACTTCTTGGAAATGTGCAAGTGAAAAATTAAATTATACAATCATTATACAAACCTGCATCTTCTGATAATCTGACCACAATCTCCATCACCGTTAAGAAATCTTCTTCATTGCCGCTGAAGTCCCGGAAGATATCAAGCAATCCTCTGGCAATAATCTGACTATGGAAACAAGTGATCCATAAAGTTAACCGGGCAACACTGACAATACAACCATGGAGCCAAAGAGAGTCAGCAACCTTTGTCGAGAGGGAGGAGAGAGAGACAACCAAGAAACATCCAACAATGGTCATTCCAAGGTGGCTGAAAACCCTATGAGGACAGGGAGCCATGTCTCCTGGTCTGACTCAAAATTTTTCTCTTGCAACAAAACCTTTTTCTCCTTTCCTGACTGATTCTTTGGCCCAGAAGACTTAAAAGAGAGGCCCCCAGAAGAGGAGGGAATTATATACCCAGTAAGTACAGAAGAAGAAGGCCCCAAGAGGCATCCAGTGGCCCTTTCAATGGCTGAATGAGGACTACAGACTGTAAAGAGTCATTAGGGAGCTTTAAGATTCAGGCATCTCCCCACACTTCCCATTTCTGTTTTCCCATCTTCTGTGCTGATTAACTACAAAGGCCTGTCAGAGGACACAGCCTCTAATGCTTGTCTCGAGGGGAAGGAGATGCTGGGGGAGCATATCCTGCTCTACCAGGTCAGCCTGGTCAGGAGGGTGGGCCCCCTCCCAGGCCCCAGGGCCTACAGTCAAGTACAAGAGAGCAGCAAGCCAGCCTGGGGCTGAGAAGCGGGCCTGGGGTAGCACAGCAAAGGCCAGGCCAGTTCCCACAAGGTGACAAGCAACAACAAAGGAAATGCTGCAGAACCACATGACAATATTCCACGTCCCACACATGATCCTCCCAACTGCAGACATACTAAGGCCAGACTCTGACCCTGAGTTAGTGATTAGTGGTGAAGGCACCCAGATGGCATAGGGCCTTCCTCAAGAGCTGACCCACAGGCTAGGTGGCCAATGTGAACAGTGGCTGGACCACCCAAAGACAGGAAACCATAAACAAAGGTGAAATAAAGACCTTTTCAGACATGCAAACATTGCAAGAATTCATGACCAGCAGACCTGCACTATAAGAAGTGATAAAAGAAGTCTTTCAGGCGGAAATAAAATGACAGCAGATAGAACACGGATCTACACAAGGGATGAAGAGCGCTGGAATGGCAACTCCATGGATAAACACATAGACCTTATCTTCTTACCGAAACCTCTCAGAGAAATAATTGAACAAAAACAGTTTGAACAAAAGTGCTTTCAGTGTATTGGCTTAGAACATATGTACCCGCAAGTCCCCAGGTTAAGAGCATCTGACTTTTAAAGACAACTCCTACTTGCTCTTTAATGTTATGAGAATTGGTCCTCATTGGAAAATGAGAGGATCAACCCTGACTTGCAGCAAATTCTTCATCAAATCGCCTTCACCGGCTGTACGTGCAGCTGTGCCATCGCAGAAAAGGCCTCTAGCTTTTTCCTGCACAAAAGTAAGGCTAAATCAGAACCACATGCACCCATTCTGACTCACTTACAAACTCCACTTACAGACTTAAAGACACAGGTAGGAAAGGCTCTTGTAACCTGGGGACTGCCTGTATAAGCCGTGTTAAAAAAATAACATAAAGACCAGGAGAGAAGAAATGGAGGTATATTATTATAAGGCTCTTATAAGGAGCTCTGGTAGCACAGTGCCTAAGGCACTTGACTGCTAACCAGAAGGCTGGCGGTTCAAACCCACCAGCCACTCCTTGGAAGGAAGGTTGAGCAATCTATTTCCATAGTGATACCTCCTTAGAAACCCAAGGAGTGGTCACTATGAGTTGGACCCGACTCCATGGCAGTGAGTTTGGTTTTTTGGTTTTTATACCATGTGTGAAGTGATAAAATATTACTTGAAGGTAAACTGTGATAAGTAAGTACAGTAAATGCACTCTAAGGTGACCACCAAAATATACCAAAACAACTGGTATAGCTAATAAGGTAATAAAGAAGATAAATTCATAAAGTTCAGTGAATCTAAGAGCAAGCAGATAATAAATAAAAAGGGAACCAAAGAGATGTGACAAATAGAAAATAAACAGCAACATGGTAGACTTAAACATAACCATTCGAATAATCACATTACACGTAAATGGTCTAAATATCCCAATTAAAAGGAAGAGACTGCCAGAGAGGGTTGCGGGGGAAGCAAGACCCAAGTCAATACTGCTACAAGAAATATATTTTAAATATAAAGATGCAAACAGGTTAAAAATGAAAGGACAGAAAAAGACCGAGCATGCTAGTATTAGTCCAAAGAGCACTGGAATGATTACATCAGTGTCAAATTAAATTCTAAAGCAAAGAATATCATCAGGGATAAAGAAGGTCACTTCATAATGATAAAGGGACAAGCGCATCCAAAGGACATAATAATCCCACGTGTTTATGGACCAAATAACAAAGCTTCAAAATTCATGAAGCAAAAATCAACAGAACTGAAAGGAGAAACAGGTAAAAGTCAATGTGTGAGTCTAGACAGACACACACGTATGTGACTGATTTTGAACAAAGGTGGCAAAGCAACTGAACCAAGAAAAGAGCCTTTTCAATAAGTGGTATTGGGATAACGAGATATTCCTACAGCAAAATATGAACCTTGGCTCTCAACTCACACAATACATAAAAAAATGTATTCAAAATGGACCACACATCAAATACGAGAGCTAAAACACAAAAGTGCTAGGGGGACAAAACAGAAGAAAGCCTTGGTGATCTTAGGTGACCTTAGGTTAGGCAAAGATTTCTTTTGGCTCAAAATGCACAAACCATATAGGAAAAAAATTGATAATTCAGATTTCACCAGAATTTTAACATCTACTCATCAAACCACGCCATTAATAAAATCAAAAAGACAAGCTACAGACTGATGAAAATGCCCGGCAAAAGACTTGTATCCAGAATTTATAAAGAACTCTTGCAACATAATAGCCCAATTAAAAAAAAAAAAAGGGTGGAGCAAAAGATTAACAAAATCATCACACACACAAAAAAAAGTAGAAATGGCCAATAAGCACAAGGAAAAACGCTCAATATTACAAGTCTTTAGGAAAATGCAAAGGAGCTCTGGTAGCGTAGTGCCTAAGGCACTTGACTGCTAACCAGAAGGCTGGCGGTTCATTCCTACCAGCCACTCCTCAGAAGGAAGATGGGGCAATCTACCCCCATCTGTAGTGATACTGCCTTGGAAACCAAGGAGGGGTCGCTATGAGTCGGGGCTGACTCGATGGCACATGACAACAACAACAACAACAGGAAAACACAAATCACAGTGCACCTGATGGCTGTCACCTTCACTAAGCGATCCCGGTTAACTTCCTGTTACACGTCACGCTGACACCACACACCTGATAGACATTACCTTAACTAAGTGATCCCCATTAACCTCACCAGTGATGAGTCACATTGATACCACGTACTCCGGGATATGATGTGATAAGAAGGAAACATCAATTCTGGGGGACTCTTTCCAAAAATCCCAAGTCTCAGTCTAAACACAAGATCACACCAGGCAACCTCAAACTGAGAGAGGTTCCACAAAACAGCTGATCATTAGTTCTCAAAAGTGTCAAGGTCATAAAGGACAAGAAGAGACCAAGGAACTGTCACAGGTTGGAGGAGACTAGGGAGACACCCATGCAAGGCAATGTAGCTCCGCGACAGGATCCCGACAGGGAAAAAGAACGTCCACGGAGACACTGGTGGGGCCAGCACAGGTAGGGGAACAGCAGGAACCCGTCTGCTGGAGAGAATGCAAAACTGCACAGGTGGTTTGGGAACAGTTTGGCAGTGTCTTAAAAAGTAATATGCACTTCCCACTAACCCAGCAATTCCACTCTTTGGTACATACCCAAAGGAAATGAAAACGTAGCTCTATGCAAAGACTTGTACGGAAAAACTCACGATAGTCACAAAATGGAAAAATCCCAATGCTCATCAACTGGTGAGCAGACAGGCACGACGTGGACCAGCCGTATGATGGAATACTACTCAGCAATCAACAGAAACGAACTACTGATAGTAACAGTGATAAGGTTCAAATACATTTTGCTAAGTAAAAGAAACCAGACACAAACAAATGTGGATTCTAAATGGAATCATGATTCCACTTAGATGAAATTCTAGGAAAGGCAAAACGTGAGCATCAGAAAACAGTATGTGCCTGGGGCTGGGGCAGGGAGTGGGGCTGACTGCAAAGGGGCAGACGAAGGGGACCTATGGGGTGATGGAAATGTTCAAAGCTTCGTCGTGGGGGTGGCTGCACGCCAGAACCCCCTGACCAGCTCTCACACAACGGTGCACTCAAAACAGGTAAAGTTTAGCAAAAGAGACCCCAATACAGCTGTTTAAAAAAGCCAGAAAGGCTGCTTGAGGGGCAGCAGGAGGTACAAGGGCCTGGAGGACTCAGCACAAGAGGAGCAGGCAGCGCTCCCTGGGGGTCCCTTGGCACAGTGAGGAAGGAGCCCCTCCTCGTCTCTCTGCACCCTCTGAGCAACTGGCAATCTAAGAGCAACCCACGTCGTGTCTGTCTGCACCAGGGGAATCAGCTGAAGCCAAAACCCACCCCAATCTTTGCAAGAACAGAACACTGGTAACAGGGATTTCAAAGAGGCAGTGTTTGGCCCAGAGTGCTATGGAAGAAGTGCAGCAAGCCCAGCTGCACAGACAGAGACTTCTACCACTCCTAAGGTGAAAGGCCCAATCTGACAGCCAGGAAGTTTGGGGAAGTCAAAGCAGACACTCACTGTAGACATGGTCCCCGGCTCCCTCTCACTGGACCACACTCATGTCAGCCACCCGGGCCGGGGAAGCTCAGGCTACCCAGATCTCCCATCATTTCTAGGGCCTTAGAACGCACAGACAAATCTGCACGCAGCTCAGACGGTCACAGGGGACCTGCCCTCTTCAGGAAGGAGATGGAAGGGATAAGAGAGGTCCCCTGATGCAGGAACAAACCCACACAGTGAACACAGAACTGAAGCGTGCAATGGACAGGTACAATGCCACTCTGGAAACCGGGCTGCTTCACATCTGAATGACTGGAGAGATCACGGAGACAAGACAGGCAGAGCTCAG